ATGTACGCGTGGTTAATGTCGACTTGATTCCTTGCAAAAGGTTTCTACAGTATTTGGTGTTTCAACATGTTAACACCTGTTTTATTGCCAGAACGGGTAAAACCTATTGTTATTTTGAATACATTGATACTGCCAAAAAAGGTCCCCCAATGTGTCATTTTCCTTGCACGCTTTTCCTTGGCAGGCAGTACCATGGCTTCAAACCGCCAGGCCATCTGGGCGAAGAAGCGGCTCTTCTTCTTGACTCCGCACGTGATGAAGAACGACCTCTGCAGTGAAGCTTGCCCTGCGGCGGCCGTCAAGTGCTTGGTCGTCGATGAAGCCCACAAAGCGATGGGAAACTACTCTTATTGCCAGGTTAGGTCCCATTATCGGAGCTCATCCTTAATTTTGGTTTATACGGCATCGTGAGTAGCTTATAACTTTTTGATCCCGTGCCTGTGAAAAAAATCTCCTGGAATTTGCTCAGTCTCGTTAGATTTTCGATACTAAGCGGGGATGAGCCTGGATGGTGCTTGTATCGATGACCACTATGCATTAACGTGGTATTGTAGGTTGCTGTGGGGCTATGTTTTCAGCAGACCAAAATCCGATGTAATTTACAATGCCCCTAACATGCTGTTCGCCTTCAGAAACTCATATTGATCATCATGGTGAAGTACGGTCGTTTCACCTGCATGACGCGTATACAGCGTAGGGAGGTCCTCATTCAGCAGTAGATTGACAAAAAGACTGTACCCTCTGCATGCTAGTTACTACATGAATCCAAATTGTACTGTTGTAAAACTGCCTTTCGCTCGCTTAAAAAAAACGTTATGATTACCTTAGATTTCCCGACTCTGCTGGTTCGTTAACACATGTGCGCTGTACTCGGTGTCCATGGCAGGTGGTGAATCAGCTCGTCGGCTATTCACGCCAGTTCCGCGTCCTTGCTCTGAGCGCGACGCCTGGAAGTGATCGGCAGGTGAGCCTCCCCCACCCCACTGGGACACATGCTTTTGTCGACTGTTGGTTCTGCTCTCACTTGAACACCAGAGGGAATTTCTAACACAATCCTGCAGGTCCCGGTTGAAGGGTACCAGGACAGAGAGTTCGGCCGAGGAGCAGCTGGATGATGAACGCCGTGTCTTGGACAGGGAAATTGATGATGGATGTTGTGCAGATCGCAAATGACTGCAATAGGTGGAAGGTGTTGATTACTAAAGCATCATTACATACTTGCCAGCTCTACTGATTCGATAAAACCATTTTACCACATACTACTTTGGCAAAGTTTATTCTACTTCTTCATAACATAAATACAATAACTGTAGTATTTTTTGCTTTTAAAATATATTTGCAGTAAAACGGTTTAACAATTGGCAGCCTACTGCTTAAATCGGTAGGGTTGCGTCACTGGCGCCCCCACGACCCTGACTAAAGGGACTGATTATGATGGTGATGATGATAGCTGTGAATTGATTGTCTGCTGGTAATGGTCAGTTCTTGCCGATAACCCAGGACACCCCAGCAGTAGTTGTTGGTTAACAAGCGGCGCACTGCTGAGACTTACAAAGTCAAAAACCGGCTTATTGCATGATGAGGTTCGTTTATACCTTCCTGTGTCCGGATTAACAACTAGTAGCAGGATTAGTTAAGTAAATTTTCCTTTGTTTTTTTATTAACACAGCGTGTTAATTTAGTTTTATTTGTGATGATGATGATGACTGATGGAATATTTAATGCATTTTTCGGGTGAATAGTGGCTTGCAAATAATTGCCACTCATAATTCCAACCATCCAATTCCGCCGTTATCTCTTTGCGGTGCCGCAGTCTGTTCAGCAGGTTCTAAACAACCTCTTGATCTCGCGTGTGGAGCTGCGCTCTGAGGACTCCCCCGACATCCTGCCCTACTCGCACGAACGCGTCGTCGAGAAGATCGTGGTGGAGCCGGACGAGGAGCTGTCGGCCATCAGGGTGCAGTATCTCAAGGTACAGCCCCCACGATCATCCCTCTAATGCAGTGTTCTTCATTGCAAGGCCCGCGGGCCACTGGCAACCCCTGGTGGCCTTTGGTGCGGCCTCTGACGTGCGGCCCCCGATAATACACAAATGTGAAAACATCCCATCATGCTGTCAAACTCAGTGGTTGCAAATGTGTGGCAGCCCTCACGCTGATGTCTTATTGCTGAAAGTGGCCCCCCTCTGTAAATTAGTGAAGAACACTGCTCTAGCATTTGCCCGGTGAGGTACGGTCTGTAATGGTCCTCACTAAAGCCAGGCTTTGCGATTATATAACTAATTGTTTACTCTACCAATTAATTATTCATTTAGTTTGTATGTATTCCCACCTCTTCCATGACCTGTGGCCAACGTAAAAGATAGGCCAAATTTTCTTGATATAGCTCACTAGTGGAAGTCTTCCCCCTTGAATTTTCTGTAGGGGAGAGTACGTCGATGGGAGTAGAGTGAGTTGAGTAGGGAGAGATGGGCCCGGGCTCCTGAAGATGGTGAGTGTGATCTTGAAATGGATTCAGGATTGGAGTTGGGAGCCAGTGGAAGGATCAGTGCACTGAAGGGATGTGGTTTTGTTTATGGGTGCAGGTGAAGTTTCTGGCAACCACATTTTGCAAACAAATCCAGACAGATCCTCGTATTTCACACACATCCTAACTCTTCTTTTCCCCTTTTCGGGCACAATGATGTCCTCCAGAAAAACGTACTCATGAGACATAGAATTAAGACGCTGCATTTCGTTCATGTTTACGTACATTTATTTCTCTCGCAGTCGGAGGATCACATTTAAATACATCAAACGTACGCATACTGGCCAAGCAAAACAATCGAAAGCCAGGGAACTACAAGATGCCCAGTGTGATGGCGACGCTAGGTAGATGCATCTGATGTGGAGACGCGTCTGGTGATGTCGACATGCCTAAAACCGGATCTCGTGTATGTGTCATGTGAGTCGTACACCTAGTGTGAAAACCCAAGCTACTGTCAGTTTTATTGTCTCAATATCGTGATAGATGGGGCACCCATATGTGCTGCACATTAAACTCGCAGAGATACAAAACCGGGTGCCCCGTTGACGGATTCAAGGCACTGATTCTGTGCCTGTGGTGCTGTTTTTATTCACTGCCATAGTGGACGACATTTGCGCTAGTTCCCGACTTGAGCGGTAAAATCTGACACGCTCTTCTTGTTTTACATACATTCAAAAAGACGACACAAAGCACTTCCATCTCAACAGCAGACTGCTGTGCTTGAGACAAGAGTGTTTTGACTGCAAGACCCATTTTAAAGCCACATACTAATGTTGTCTCCGAGCTCTCAGAAACGAAATGCTCACTTGCTTCTTCTCAAAGCACTTGTTTTTCTCGACAATGCATTAAATGATAGACACAGCTTCAGACTTGTTTCCGCTACAGAATGTACCCATGAAAAATGCCCTTTGCCTTGTGTGTACAATTTTTGTTTTCCTGTAGTGGTTGTTGGTTTGTTAAAACTATGTTTACTCCGCCAGGTGATGCTAGGTGTATAAAGCTTTTTATACGTCATTTTTTTCTTACATTCGCTGTCAAAGCTGAACATTTAAACAGCCAAACAAACAACCCACCCTGCAACCTACATTCATCATGCCTTAGAACAGGCCTCACAGATCAAAAACTGTTAAATAAAAGTAGAAAAAAAGCAAAGGATTAAGAGGTTGTGCCCTCCTTATGGTTACAAATGCCATGTTACGCTTTAAAACTTTAAACTAAGTAGGTCTCTTACATAGTGCACAGCTTATGAACTAATTTTATGCAGAATCACTACACTAGTATGTATTAAAATAGACTGTTAAACATAGCATAGCTCATGTTTTTCCCATTCAAACACTATGTGTTTGAGATGGAGTATTTTGGTAGAGGACTGGCTAAGAGCTACAAATGTATGAAATGAACACTGCTTCTGAAATTGAAGTTTACAATCTGAGGGGCCCACAAGACTTCTCACCTTATGCCCTGCAAACTTTAACCTGCGATCCAGTGACATGGTTTTAGACCAATTGGTCCACATGGCTTAGATCCGGAATGTGTTGCGTTCCGGAGAGCACTGCAGTGACTTAACAATTCGTTGTTGCGTCGCTTTAACATTTTCTTGGACGTTAGTAGAGTGGCTGGAGTAGATGGCATGTGGCTAGTAGCCACAGCCATAGCGAGGTATGATAGATGTGGTGTGCCAGTTGCAGATATGTTTTCCGGATCACCGACTCGAACAGTTCTGAATGACAATAATCCCTGCGAAAACAATTTGTTGGCAACTGTTATCAATAATGCCATCTAATGTCAGAAACACTCTTAAACTATCGTAATTGAAATAGGCGACTGTAAATACGAGGGTCTCATTGAATCGAAACTAATGCCCTTCCGTCATCTTGTGCATAAGAGATTGCTGCAGCTGCAACCACCTCGGAAACATCATTGCCTCATATTCACAGGTCTTATTTGGGTTTCGTTTGTCACTTATGAAACCACTAAAACCACTGACCTAAAATATATGGAACTAAAAAAACCTGTAGTCTTGAGACCGAGAAATTAGTGGCTGGTTTCCATAAAATCTACAGACGTGTGCAACATGGATATAGAGGGCTCAGTGGTTTTGGTTGTTGTCTTTAGAGCGGGTGCACACCTGAGCGATGAATCAATTATATGTGGACATTTCTGTAACAGTTGCACAACCGATTGCTTAAAGTAGAACAAACTGAATTAAAGTGATTCGCTCAGCGAAATTTTATAGTGACATCCTTCATCAGATGCGCATTTGCGAACAATGCTTGGTTGTGACAATCCTGACATAGGTGTTGGTGCAGTGGGGGGGGCTTAACATAAACTAGGTGAGGCTGTACGCAAGTTGGCTAGGTCAGACCTTTAGCAACGGCAAATAAGTCCTTTTTGCGCAATTCTTGCTCAAATATGGAAAAAACAGTTGCAGGTGAATACGTTCTCTATTTAGAGTGATTTGTTGGCACAAAACTGATAGCTCAACTGTGGACCTGCCTTTTAAAGAAGACTAATTCACATGGTAAAGTTTACTGTGGGTCGTGCCCCCCCTCATCCTCGGATTGCGCCACCACTCTGCGGCATGTTATAGCGGCCGTGCCAGCTAGATTCTCCGGATGAACCAGATTTCGTTGCGGCGGTTGGCTGCGGCCGGGTTGTTGTAGCCAGCGATGAAGTGGGTCTCAGTGTTGTAGAGCTCGGAGTGGCACAGGATCTGTGCCAGCTCATTCACTTGACGCATGATCGTAGTCTCGTTGGTGGCACCGCTGAACTCACTGCGGCGGGCAGGATAGGAGGGGTGGGGGGAAAACGAATGCTGCTTGAGTAAATAAAAAAACTTTAACTGCTGTTCATCTGTTGGTGGATAAAGGGCTTTCCATGATGTGTCAGTCATGGGGGCTGTTTCATCATACTTTACCTATATAACTATTTATAGAAGATAGCCAATTAGAAATATACATTTTCAGAGGCCAGCCAATTGGTACCACTTATCCCCTGCGGACTGGCCCATGAGGTTGGCCACAGTGGTGATGAGTGTGGTGGCGGTGATGGTAGCGGGATGTTACCGGGTGTAGACTCGTATGGCCGGGCGCTCCTCGATGGTGACAGTAGGGTCCAAGGGCGTGGGTGGCTGTCCCTGAAGGTGCAAGGGCAGGCGGTACCCTACCACCACATGGTGGAACAGAGTGCCTGTTGCCTCGTCCACTTGCACCGTAGTAACGATCGGGATTGTCATGCCCAGGTATGAGCCTGGCACGCGCAACGGGCACACATAGATAAATACTTGATGTCTAGGAAGTGTGGTCTTGAAAATGAACACATCCCCAGCACTCCAGGTAATCTGTGCTTTGGGCATATTAAATATGTGTGACGGTTTAAATTTAGCGGGTAATTAAACACGTAGAGATGTTGTGGCACAGCTGGAGTCTGCACGATGGAAAAAAGCTGCCATGTGTGCCTGGTGACAAGTGGTCACATGATCCTCGGGGGCTTATGAGAAGGCATTTGGTAACATCTTCCCATTGCCCGCCTCAGATAGCATTAGCCACTTAATTTTATTGCAGTCAGTTCCGTGCATGCATTGTGAACACACAAGATCAAGAGATTTGAGGACTTGTCTCAAAGTTCAAATGTATTAGTTTTAACCAGGTGAGGTCTGAGGTTACAGGATACGTGGATCATTTGCAAGAATTATGTGGGTCATCAAAATGCTAAAAGTAATAACATTAAATAAAGTACAGCTGCTAAGCAAATAGAAATGTAATAATAAAAAAATGCACAAACATGAATCTACTTAAAAGAAAGTACATTTCTTAAAATGAAGATATGTTTAGAAAAATCACTAATTCCTTGTTTAACTCGTTTTGCGAAAATACTTCACACATTTTCGCAAAGGAATTGCTGTATATACATTACAGGTAATAAATAAATATAAACAATACACATTTTAATCAGATTTGCACTATAAAATAATCCTGCAGTCATCCCATAGCGGGAAAAAGAACTGAGATGAGGGTAGGCCGTGCACTATATCATACTGCTCATTTGTGTAGCTCAAGAAAGTATTTCGTCGTCAACTGCTCACAAACCGTGTAATAACGCGCGCGTTCCGCATTGTACGAAAAGTGTTTCCAAATAGAAGAACCACGTTTTCGTAAACATGCGCTGCGTGAACACGCGTTAAGTGAGGACTTACCGTACTTTTAAACTAACTGCTTACCAGTGGAATTCTCCCTGCAGATGTATCTCATGATCTTCATGAACGCGTAGCAGATACTCTGCTCGTAGGTGTCCTCTTTGGTTGTCACGCATGCCCACCAGCCGGCCGGGTACTCGCGTTCCTCCACCGGCATGTGACCGTCCCCCTGCATGCCCCCCCACCCCGCACACCCCGCCAACACAACAGGATTATGGCTGTGCTCTGAAATCCTGGGTAAGATTAACAACGGTGTAGCTGAGGTGGCTGGGTGATTCTGGCGGTCAGAACATTGTGAGTCTGTAGCACTGAGATCCTGGGTTCAGATCTGGGTTTCAGCCACCTGTGTTTGGAAGCTACTTAATTGTAGCTACAGGCACGTAACATTCCTTTTGAACTTAAAATCCGTTCTTTCAAAATCCCCAAAGTGTGCCTGTTAATTTTTCTGTTGGGTATATGTGTATTTCTCAAAATACATACCATTGTTTTCAACACTTTATTGCGTTCATTTTTTGTTGGATCTTAGTCCGTGCGCGGTGATTTTTTTTATTAAGCTCTGCGTCTGATTAAATCGGTTTCTCAAGTGGCTGGTTGTCTCAAGTGCCAGAGCACTTAGATGGCACCTCTAAGAATTGTGCATTTAAAATTGGCTTCCAGAGGCCATGATTAAACCTGGTTCTCAAGTGTAGTGAGTTGATGCTCTCAGCATAGTCCCCAATGACCGAATATAAAAAACTAAAACTACTATCATTAATTTGTGGGTTTTCATTTAATTTGGCTAATGCCACCTCTCTTAAAAATATCAGTTTGCCTATAACATGATGAACATGTTTCTCCGTAACATTTCAGTTTTCAGTTTCATTTAATAGGTATAGCCCTGTGAGCCATGAGGCTCTTGACTCGGGTGCTACCGCAACAAACAAAACATGAACAAAGAACATCTTAAAGTGACGACGCGCAACAGAAACATCCAGGAAAAAACTGTAAAATCTTCCAGAAAAATATAAATGGCATGTATCTATGTTGAATTTTTTTCACACCGTACATATCCAATCATGCTAATTGGAGGTGTGGGAAGTAAATCCCCTACCACTCAGAAGCAGTTCTGAGGTCTTTTTCTGCAGGTCATTCTCTAACAAATGGGAATGATGCTCTGTCTGGGTTCTGAATAAATATATCCTCTTGTGACATGATGTATAGAGCACAGTTGTAATAACGTTATGGGAAAGACATCAGCCAACAAAACAAAAGTCTTGTTGGTGGACGTGCATCGGGACCCACAGATGAAAGATCACTCTCAAATGGGTAACTCACATTTAGTAAAGGGGGCCCCCTTTCTGTAATCACGGTGTAAAATATTAAATGGTGATGCTGTATTGGTGGTGGTATACAACCACAAATAACAACAACAAAAACTGTGATTAACGAATGTGGTGAGCTTTTTGTAGACAACGTTTGGCTCCTAATCTAATAAATATTGTAGCGTTGTGGTTAAGAGTCCAATGAGTGCCCATTTGCTCTTGCAACAAGCTAGCATTTGGGCAGTCACCCTCCTACATGGCTTTCGCATTTACAAGTTCATACATGGGTCAAATAACAGTCTAACTTGCCAAAACATTCTTAATTCCTGGCGATGTAATTTTTTGTGCTATCCACTTCGCCTGCTGTGCATTCAACTAGCAGAGATATCATAAACTATTGCTCTGTCCTTCAAGGACCCTTTTTAGACGATTTCCAGACCTCAATGTTCTTAGCGTTATCAGTTGAATGGTTGGCGCACCTAAGGCAAATTTACTGGCAAACCTCGCAAGTGATGCAATTGTTTTAATTACGTGAAAAAACCCATATTTAAAGGAATGGTTTTGTTGCCCACAACCTTTGGTGACTGGGCTGAGACCATCAAACACTCTGGCTGACAACCTGCTTGTGTTTTGGAAGGAAGCCCAGATTTTTGAACCCATGATTTTAGTGTTGTTGGCTTAGCACTACAATGTGGGTATTCGTATCGGCTGCCTCCTCCCGAGTGCCCCTTGGCTTGCGTTATTTTTCTGCATCGCAACAACACGATTGCTTACCGTCTCGTTCCTCTGGATGACTGTGTAAGGGTTCAGTTCCCGGGTTTCTGGGTCATTGTTCATCGTCATCTGCTGAATAGGCTGTGCCATTTCTGAAACGGTACAAGAAGGGAATTTGCGGGCAATTTGTGAAGGCGGTGTTTTTAGGGTGGCACAGAATCTTGTATTTTTAATTTGTAAGTGCCCAAAACATATGAAGGTCCCCCTGGGTAGCCTCTAACAGACTGGTAGGGCAAATTCTGTTCGCAAGCACCTTTTAAGACCAGCATGCCACACAATGGTTTGGTGTGGCTAACACAATGCCCACCTGCCTTTGACTCTCCGGTGCGGATGTTGACACACTGCACCTTGCTGAGTCAACCTTGTTGAAGCCCAAGACCGGTTCATATATCACTGACCAATGATGTTATCCGTGATCGGGAATCAGACGTTAAATATACAGTATATATACCAAAACAAAACAATGACAATCACCCCCGTGAAGTCTTTCACAAACTGTTTGCGAGTATCTATGATAGCGGCATGGCACACAAGGCAGTGGTGTGTAGCCAGCACCACGCCTGCACATACATAGTCGAGACACACACTCGTGCAATTGTCATCTTCGTCAAGGTCTTATAACCTTGAAAAATTTAAGAAAAGTGTTAACATTTATTTTCATTTGGGTCTTTCGGTAAAGCCCCGTAGATAGAAAAAATTATCAAAATGATAACACCTGAAGACGATTTCTTGTGTTGCGATCGAAACGTCGTGATATTGTTATTACTTTTATTATTTTTAAATCCTTTATATTAAGTTTGCTTGCTTGCTTAGGACCGTGCAAATCTTTCGGTCGTTTTTTAACCCACTTCCCGTGATCCAATCGAGCTGACATTTAGCACACAGACTCGTTGTGCGTGACAATGAATTTTCGTGAAAAAATGTTTTACACTGTTTAGGGAATTTTTTAAAAATATTTATTTACCAATTGGTTAATGCTGGCACACAATCATCTGACCCATAGGTGGCAGCCATCTCAAGCCAGAGGACGAGAGGACTCTAGCCGCCCCGATGCCACGCATATAAAGGATTTATATTGAAAAACGTAGTTTTTACGGGTTAATTTTTTCTATCTACGTGGCTTTACCGAAAGACCCAAGGAATATGAATTCCTGCAGTCACGAAAGCTTTAAGTTAAGATTTAGCATTTATCTGTTGCAACTTTGATGGTGGCTGTTTGTTGCTGACTGCTTGTAATTGTGGGTCTTTGGGCCTATGCTCAGCAAATGTGTTAAATTTGTTTTATATTACTCAACAATCGCATGCTCAAGCTTTCCGTAAAAGAAACGCAAAGTGACAGAAAATACTCTTGAGCGTTTTTTGTTGTTGCCAACTTTGTTTGCGCGCTGCTCTCTATTAGCACAAAACAATGGTGTCTTGCAAAGCGCTCTGCTTTGTTGTGGCGCTGCAGCTGCCAGCAGTATATTTAATCGGGACCACTCTCAGCGTGGATTGCTCGTGAAGCGTGACTTGGAATGCCGTGCCACCGGCTCTTGGGGCACCATTGTAATGTCTAAAAGCTGCCAGCCATGTGTGTGTATGTGGAGGGCAGTTATGTAAGTCCTAGCATAGCACACTCAGATGTGTCTGCGCACTCCCTAATGAGCAGTTAGCTGAGAACAAATGGGTGAAAGGTAAAGGTGTAGCCCTGCAATTGCTTGCTCACACCACCGCTGGCCAAAGAGCCTCCACTAATAGGAAGCTCAAGTGACTCAATCGGTTCCCACCGTTCCATCATATCAGCATCGTGAGCAAAAATAAGAAGGAATGAGGCTCTTTGCGTGTAGGCCTGTGTGGGCAAATGGTTGACATGAATTTGGCGGGTGCGCTGGGAAACATATCCCAATTGTATTTTATAAATCACAATTAATGAGCACAGGCCAAAACTCATGTATGTATGTATGTTGAACTTCTTTCGCACCATACGTAGCCAACCGTCATAATCGGAGGTGCGAATGGCATATGACACGGATTGAACTGGCAGTGAGATAATTACAGTCCAACAGATAACACGTTTCTTGAATTGAGCAAGGTGTTAAGAACTTGGGAGAGTTGGTGATAGGAGGGAGTCTCAAAGCCAGAAACAGCATGTATTTGTGATATAACAAAAATAATTAACATATTTGATTAGTTTAGCAAGGTTATGGGAATCTGGGATAATAGGTTATGGAAAGGAGTTCTAAAGTAAGGCAGTTTGGGAAAAAAAATTATGAACCACACACTACCACTTCTGCCACCACCATCATCATCATCTAGTGGCATCCAAACAGCGCCCATCTGATGGAGGTCTGCCAGTCGTTATTTTAAAGCTGCGAAAATGCACATTTGAATAAAGGCTTCCGTTTAGGTAGAGAGCATGTGTTCATTTTACGTGAAATTAGTTTGTCAATCCACTGCTGGTTCAGAAGTAGGGGTTGTTCGACTGTACTTTGCTTTGCCACACTGGTCCAGTGCAGGATTGTTAAGAGGGGGGGACCCAGAACCTGTTGAGATATCACTTCTCTGTTGCCCTTAGCCACTGCCAAGAATCAATGTCTTCAGTACATGCAATTACAATGCAGTTGTGTGTTTACTTAAAGACTTAAAGGAGGCAAAGTTAGTTGCATTGCTTAAAAAAAATCAACGTCCATGATGGTGGTGCTACAGTCGATAAGAAACAAATTTTTCCACCACTATCGCATAGCCTCTAGTTTTCTATTTTTAAATTGTACGATAGCCCACATGCTCAAAGCCAACAACCACCACACCACGACATGATTTCTGCGAACATTTTAATGGTGGACCTTGAAAAATTAATAGGTCCCACAGCTTTGGTGATCTAAGAAACGAAGAAATGGTGATGAGGTGTGAAAAGAAAAGGCTCTTGGAGTGTCCTACTGAGAGATATAGGGCCTGTTGAGAGATATGGCCTGCTTAGAAGTATAGAGATATAGATAAGTCACATGAAAGTGAGAAATGTGATAGAGATAAGAGAGCTGTAGACAAGAGATAAGATTAGCGAAACCAAAGTGAGATGGACAAGAAAGATATGAGAAACCTGGAGAAAATAGTCAAGTAACGTCTTAACGTTCATACATATGCCATCATGTGGTCCGCCGGCATACGCTAGTTGTATTATGTGGCTCGTTGGAAAACATAGGTGAAGAACCTTGTCCTGAGTGCATCATCGCCGTCATTGTTTTGTCCTGGGTGAGCACTCCTACCTCTGGGCAGCACCACCTGATGGGTACGAGCAATGTCTTCCCAGTAGTTGAAAAGCCGGTCCTCCATGCCTTCATTGCTGCCGTTGTCCATCGGTCCGCCCGCGTTGTCCACACCGTCGCCGCTCGTGCAGTTCGAGCCTTCCATGGTCTCCTCTGACATGGTGTCCAGGTCATCCATCGTGATGAGTAGTTGCCCTGCGTGGGGCTGGCCTGGCATGGCCCGGGCCTGGCCTCCCACCATACCGCTGCCACCACCGAACCGACAGCTCTCCTGCTCCATGTCAGTCCTGTGAAGGGGAGTGGCGTCGTTTGCCATTGCCAGCTACACACGCGTGTTTCTTTGTTGCGGGTTTTTTCTAAAAGTCATGTCACCACGGGTAATATATTTGTAAATTTTGCATAGCTATTTATGGACTTTGAAGAAGGGTCATTACCCAAAATGTCAACTATTATATATTATTCCTTTCAAGGCTGCAGTGTCATATTGACAAACGTGATCAGTATGTTGTTGAGTATGGTGTGTCAGTGAATACCCCGCAGAATTGATTTTTTTCACACGGCTTCTAAACAAATCCTTGAAGTAGGTGTCACACTTTCCCACAAGCTCAGCTTTCGGATTGTTTATTTAATGTTTACTCAAAAATGGCATCATGTATATAAAACAAATGTGTGGTTGTTATGATCAACAAAAAATGTGGGGTGCTTTCAGACATCCGCCACACCCACAGTGGCTTGATTTCGATTGTTGATTATGGGGTCGTAAAAACCTCAGATGTATGGATTCTTGCAATGCACTGCACTGACTGGCAGCAGATAACATGTTTTCTGTGCTGCACAGCAGTGAGAAAAACACATCCCTTTGTTGGCCACAAGTGGCAGCAAGTTGCCCCTTGAATTATAAAGCTCATTATTACAAATCCAATCAACAGGAGTGGTTTGTTCATGGCTGCAAATTGTGGCTTATATATCAGAAAAACAGAAGATTGTACAAATGCACAGCAATCCTATTACACCCTGATTGGAGAACAACACTTTTGAAGTGACTTTTAACGGGGCTGCACAATGAATTGGCCTGGTAACTCACCGCTAATATTCTCGGTTTGAAAGCGGGCAGTCGCCCATGATTCTACTGAGTTTTCAAGTCGTGAGTTGATGGTCTTAAACCAGTCACTGATAACTGTGTTAACAAAGGATCAGGTAATTTGGCAAAATTCCTGGTAACTCACCGCTAATAACATTACTCTCTGTCGCAGGGCAGATGAGAAAGTACTGCACTCACCTGTGTTGAACAGAGGTCACTTGAATGGAGCTCAGAAGTAGATCTGTTTTATCCACTTCTGTGGGCCATTGGATTCATCTGGACTTGCAATCCAGAGGTCGCCAGTTCGACTCAATCTTCCGGTCTGGCTGTTGAAACAATGGGGGGGCAAGTTTCTTAAATAATCCCTCCCTCTGACCTCTGTCCACCCAGCAGCATACGTGGGTTCACCAAAGTCGATCGGCAGGCCGCGTGTGGCGGGGTAAAGTGAGGGTATTCCGACCTCTTCCAAGACGGTCTGGCCAGTGTCGTCGGGTAAGCCAAAACACCATCTAAAGAGGAACTTTAGAGTTCCCTCTTGTGAAGCCCCTTCTGCCAGCAGTGGTGTGAGCAAGCAGTTGCAGGATTTCACTTTTACCCCTGTAATAGAATGCTGGTTGTGGTAAAGCGCTCATGTTTTGGGGGTGAGGGGCTTAGCTCGGCATTTTCAATCTTCTATCATGCCAGCGAAAACAAGCCTCTGCACTTTTTAGTGTATCTTCATGCAACTGGTGGTTGTGCGGTTTGTCTTTCAACGGATAGTCTGCTACTGCTACGTGGGTTTTCATGGTTGTGCTGTTTAGCACTCCGGGGTGTGTGCCGTTCAGCATTCAGAAGCTCCCATCGTGTGGCGCAAAAGGTCCGGATACCCTGCTGAACGACATAACCTCAAAAACACATTGGTGAGAGTATTTTGTCCATTGCTTTTAGAATGTTTACTCGAATTAATTACTAGTCCTAAATCTACCGTGCCACTCGGTGCAGAGATATTCATAGTTAGTAGGTCGGGTTAGACTTTGCGAGTGTAATGCGCTTTGGCAGCGATGTAATTGAACAGTCCTCTTTCTTATTCATACCATGTGACCTTAATTCCTGTGGCTTCTTAGCCTGAATCACATTGTCTTAGATATGAAAACAACAGCAACATTCCCACCATGGTCAAACAATAACAACAAAAATCTAAATGTCAATTAAGCACTCAACAAAATTATATGATGCACAGATTAATCATGCAACCTGTCAACATCAGTCATTGTCCATCTACTGCTGGATAAAGGTTTCCCCAGGCTACATCTGTCATGGGGGGATGTTTGAAAAGACTTCACTCCGCCACCGCTCCCCCCCCCCCGAAAAGAATGAAACAACAAAAAATCTTGCTCCCATTTTACTTTTGTGCAAAATGAAATTGAATAACACGATAAGATTTACTCATGAGTAAGCTATCGCACAATTCACCACAAGTGGAACCGACACATTATCTGGCCCGTGGAGTAAGGGTTGCAGGTGGATTTAAGTTACATTACATGTGGTGGCATCTTCACAGGCTTTGGCACCTACCTCCTAGAGCAGACAATGGAGCCCGTTCTGTATGTGGTCATGTCGAGCCCTTTTTTAATCCACTGCTAGATGAGGGACTCTCCATAACATGCAGCTCTTGGAGGATATTTGAAAGCATTTCACCACTCTGGCTTAGACACCTGAAGACAGAGCATAGCTGTTTGTACTCTACATGGTGGTTACTCATCCAAGGACTATCCAGGCTCAAACCTGCTCAGCTGCTTGGATCCGACAAGATCGGGCACATTACGTGTGATTTGGCTGCAGCCAGTGTTGCGGTCGCTGATTAAATCTCTTGAGACACCGCTGCAGCGAGAGAGGCCATACAACTATTGCTTCTGCCACCGCCGCGCATACAAGTGCAGTTTGCAAAAAAACACGCTCTCCCGCAGATGATGGGTGGCAGATGGAAACTCCACGATTAATTCCCACCCACGCTCAAAATTAGCCCGTGAGGAACTCCGGCATTTGATTAATATTAGAGAGATGCACTAAGGCTATAATGGCCGCATTGTAGTCATTGGTACACTGAGAATGGTTCTGGGTCTGGACCGAGCCAGAGGCATCGTTTTATTTCATCCAATATGGGGCATCGGCCATGGTCTATACACTGCTAGATGGACTGGATGAAGATCACCCCAAGCTGTTGCCATGTTTTTTTTTTTTTAAACCACGCATCAAAGACCGCCAATCTCCGATCACTGTCGCCATCATTATCAACGTTATCGACATTATTGGCATGATGACACTTTTCTCTCGATCATCATAATCATCATTATTATGAATATGAGCGGGTCACAAGATGGTTCTCGGTGTGCAAGCTCCAAAACACATGTGGAAATAATAGTAGGTTTTTACCCTTTTAACTGGTACAAAACTGACACCTTTATATGTGGAAATGTATGTGCCCTGGGTAGGATTGAGCCTGGATAGTGCTTGAATGGACAATTTCCATGCATGGCTACAGATGGTTGGGCTGCGAAGTCGAAAAGCAGAGGGCAGTTACTACAAATCCATTGTTGTACTGTTCTACACTGACACGTCTACGCTCCATGCCCTTGAACTCGCACTTCTGACGAGCATGGTGAAGTATGGTCAAATAATCCCTAAGACCCGCACAGCATGGAAGGACCTCATCTAGCAGTGGATTGACAGAGGGCTGTACATGTACATTTGCCTTGCATACCACACGCGCACGCACACTGTCGCCTCTCATCTTGGAGTTGTCCCTCGCGTAAGGGCGGCTGTTAGTGGCAGCTGGCTGCAGCTGCCAGCCGATATCACAGGAAGGGGGGTCCTCATCATGAGCTATTATCATTTCATGCATTCATCTCTCTCTGCACTTTTCACCCTTTGTTCCATTTTGGTTTTTACAGCCTCTAAATCTGAGCGAGAGTTTACTAGACAGGACACAGGCTCCTGTAGAGGTGGTGTGAAAACTGTATTGTTGCATCATCCCATACAGGTGTACTCCTCTGTGCGATAATATTATATCATTCATATCTTCTTTCTCAACCCACTGCTTGCTGAGGGCCTCCTAATGCCGTGTCGGTCATGGGGCTTGTTTAATCGACCATACTTAACAACGCTGGTTCATGTGGCTTGGTAAAGGGGTGGCGGGGGGGGGACAGAGTGGGTGGGTGACCAGCACAAGCTGATCTATCACTCGCCATTGATGTTAGCCGTGGCCAGGAATCAAACAGGTGCATTGTGCATTGTGCATTGGTCCAACTCCTGTGCCACTGCTCTGCCGTGGAGTATAAATGTGACCAATAGTACGATTCATGCACTGTTCATCATCATCATTACCATAATTAATGCCAATTAATATTTAAATGGTTTTCATCATTACTATTATTATGGACAATTAACTACATTGTGATCCACCAAGCGGCTGCTGTGATATTTGATGAGTCTCAAAGTCTTGTTCTTGGTGGATTCAAATGTTTGTACGTGTCGAACGATGCCATGGGGACACCCCTGCAAGCAAGATGTGCAGTCTGAAGGGATGTTTGCAGGTGATATTTCAATAGTTAATAGAACAAAACATCAATCATTGAATTTAGAAATGCAGGTTGGAGGATGAAAGTGGGGGGAAAATGACAATGCAACGTTAAGCTAAAGCAGGGGTTCTTTGATCTTTGCAACCACAAAACAACCTTTTGCATATTTTAAAATTAATATTCATTCGTAGACAATAGGACACTTCAAATAACGTATGTAAGAAGTGACGCTTTTCCAGTTGTGTTTGTTATAATGGTTTTATGGGACTGGAAACTACTAGATGCTTCTGTATTCACTCCAATGTTTTTGAACCTAATCGTGACCCTGAATTGTGACCCTGAATCGTGACGATCCATGAAATTGCTGATCAGAGTGGGGGAGGGTCAGGCAGTGGGGTGAATAATTTCGGCTCTACGATTCATGCGATCAAAACATTTTGAGACGGGCAGGGAGAAGGGGCTTTCAATTTGAGCGGTCTGAGCTGGAGTAATTTTGACAGCTGTTGAACCTAAATGTTATTTTAGGTAATTTAATTAATCGTCGGGTGGTGACATGGTAGCGCATTTGCCCCTTGTTGCAGAGGTTCATAGTTCGAATATAGTGGCCGCCCTGATTATTACTCAGATATAATAGCCAGGATAATACTCTGCACCATCTGTTTCACATAGTAGACGATGAAGATCCCCCCGTGATGTTAGTTGCAAGAGTTTGCCATTGTGTTTTTCCCAGCATCAGGATTTATTAGAAAATTACACCGCAAATGATTCATTGCAGCAATTGTATGTGTCATGCACCCTCCTTCACCCGACAGATTTTTCAACAAAGTTGTCACGTGAACAAACACGGCAATTTAATCATTGCTTCAGCACGCCGGTATGCTGGAGAGCGATCCACACCATTTAACAATTGGGTACGTCATTTCGCTGGTAGTTGCAAATGCCATTATTTGGCAATAACCAAAATTGAAAAAAATCTATTCCCATCTTAGACCTTAAATAGGTGGCATGATGTCGTCAACTTGCCCCTCCACCACAGGTGCGCAGAAAGTGATGCCTAGAGGTTCATATCTTTGCATTAAATATACGATGTATTATGTAATTTATGAGATGCAACATATGCATTTAATTGGACACAGTAGCCATGCACTACAGGATACTCTCAAATGACTATTTATGTGCTGTAGATAATGCAGAACTGAAAACTACACAGCAGCATGCTAACGTGGACATTTAATCTCTTGAGACTTTGTCAACGCAATGTGGGTACTTGAAATGTAGATGTTTACATTTTAAATACTGTGAACAGTGCATAGGCCCGACTGAATGAAAATCAGGAACAAGAGCAGGATCTAAAGCATACTTATTACACTGCCTGAAATGTGTGCCAATGCTTGAGATGTAGTAAACGCAATGCTGTGGTACCTTGCTTTTTCTGGCGCCATTTCAAATTATTAGACGTTTTTTTTACTCACAAGAGTATTTATTTTACGACCGTCAAATACCTCGTTTGCTAGTTTAATATCTATCAAGGTACCCTATACTTGGTACTGCTGTGCTAACACACCACGGATCTCCCTCTCCGTCGTAAAATACCCAGGCCACTGGCTAAACGGGACCATCCCTGTAACAAATCAAATAAATTTCGATTTAAAGCTTTCGTGACTGCAGGGATTCATCTTCTTGGTTCTTTCGGTAAATTCACGTGACTTTACCGAAAGAACCATGAAAATCAAATAAACTATAAAATTACGCCAACAGAGCAGTGAGCGTGTAGACACTGTAGAGTAATGTTTCTCAAATCCTGAGTCCTTCCGACTACCCCATGGTACAGCTTTTCTCCTAATTACCCCGTGACGACTGGGGAAAAATTGCTGATCGCAAAAATCTTCACTGTGGTGGGGGGGGGGTAGGGGGGTGGCGGTGTGTGGCTCGCGGCTCGTGAGGACCGGAATTTCTAAGAACGGCGCTGTCGAGTGTGCAGCGGAGTACAGAGTGTACTAACGCAGCTATTCAATTGCTGGCGAACACGTCTTGCGATATATATTACCTTGATTGAATGCCCTGTGGGGATTTAAATGCCTTCGGCGTTCTGGGCATGGCATGAAGCTGTATCTGGTGTTGGCGTTGTCTATGAAAACCACTGTTTCTGCAAGTCATCGGGGAAACGACCACAACTCGCCTTCCCTATTATGGCTCAAGAACCACAGTTTGGCGATGTGATGTTACAAGGGAGGGGGAGGAACGGTGTCGGATGGAATGCAGGGCGCTTGAGCCAAAGACCTGCTTTTGGGAGCATGCTTCAGGTCAGAAAGTAGATAGCATGGAGGTACTGCAGAGTCTACACTGGAGTACACGTACAGAGTTTGCTATCACGGGTTTTCAAATGCCGGCATTACTAGACCACGTGGACTCATTGTACATAACGCGTAAAGCATGCACGCACGTAGGACAGAATAGAGGATACCACCGAGTACAATAAAGTGCGTTGACACCCACTGTAGCGGCGCTTATAGTGAATGTGGCGTGGGTGTTTAGACACTGTTAACAAAGTGGAGAGAATACGCACTTTGGACGCTTTTCAGAGAAAAGAGAGAGGGTGCCAACTCGGGCACTCACACACTCGACAATGCAGTGCGCCCGGCATGCCAACTCGGCAGTTCTCAATGCAGGGCACCCTGTGGAGACGGTACAGAGCGATGCCAGAACAGGTGCACAAATGAAACGCTCTTATACGGTCAATCGGTCCTTGCAGTGAGTGATGTGTCCGGGTCTGAGTAACACTCGTGTGAGTACCATGTGAATACCGTACTGGCTGCGTCGTCGTGGATACTTGGGCAGGCGCAGGGGAAGGATTGGCGGTGGTGGCGGCAGCGACTGGCAGATGATGGGCAGACAGGTGGGGATGACAGCTCAGGTGCACAAGGGAGCACGCGCAAATCTCTGTCTGTATTATATATATAAAACAAAAGTATTTAATAGTTATATATTTATCTATTACAATGGCACGTTCGAAACGTGTTTAGTAGTTGCGCGAGCGAGCGTGTTCGTTCGTGCGGTCTGCCCTCCCGGTGTCGCTCTCTCTCTCTCTGGGCTGGCTGGCGACTGTTCCTGTTGATATGCGAGCTCGCGCAAGCGCGCAGAGGAGACCCCGCGGTGGAGGCGGAGTTCTGAGAAACGGGGAGGCGGAGTGATGTGGGGCTGGGCCGGGGCTGTGTTAGGATGGGCCAAGTTCGAGTGTGTTGGGCTGGGCTCCTCTCTCTGTTGGGTTCTGTTGGGTTTGGTTGTCGCACTGGGCTGTGTGTGTTGTGCTGTGTTAGATTGCGTTCATCCTGGATGTTTTTAATCGTGCTTGGTTTGGCTATATAGTAGGCTGTGTTGAGATCTATTGGACTGTTAGACTGGACCCAAGTGCATTATTGAGCCATGTTGGGATGGGATGCGCTGAGGCTTGTGTTATGCTCTGCAGAGTATGGGCTGTGTTGGGTTGGAGAATGTTGGCCTCGTAGTAAATTACGTTAATCGTGACCAGGTCAGAGCCCATTGAGATCACAAGTCTTTTTCATAGGGGAGAGCTGATACAGCAAAACAGAAAAATTCGAAATGTTCTTCACAACAAAAACATACACGGGGAAAATAAAAATTTAAGCAATGTCGTGTAATGTTGGCCAGTGCCACGTCTGTTCATCGTAGGGCATAACGCAGTGAACCAATGTGATTGCATTACAGAGACCCACACGTACAAACGTTTCACAGCCCGAGAAGGCTACAGCAGGAGAGTGGCCGATGTCATGAAACAAAATACATAAAACGTAGGTTTTCATAGCCAATGCCCTGATAAGGCGTTGGCAACACATGTTTCCCTTCCAAGACGTCTGGGACCAGCAAAGAAGAGTAGACCATAGACCAATTCCCTCTAGGGGGGGGACGGGGGGGGGCTCTCTATAAAGCCATCCCTGGTGGAGGCCCTCCCGCCAGCAGCGGCCATGCATGCGTGGCATTTGAATCGTCCAATTCCGTTTCCCGGCCATATTCCCACCGCAGGGGCGTGGTGGGGTGGGGGAGCAATGGATGTGCCAACTTGGCCAGGGCTTACAGTTGCCCTCGCCATGGAAAGCAAATAAACACCAGGGTGCTTTTTCATATAGTCAATGTGATTTCTGTCTGAAATTAAAATTAACTGGATGCTCATTTCCTGTTTACAACCCTGAACCATTCGTGGAAATTCCATGTTCAAGTGGCAGGGGTGGTGAGGCTATCCATAGGACAACCATTGTTGACTTCCCCACAAAGTAGTAATTCGTTTATCGACCCCCAGAGAGATGATAGGCTGAGTCAATCCTTAACATGGATTTGAGCTCCTAGTATTCCAGTTGTGAGCCGCCAACTCTGCCGTTGAGCCACCTTCACGTACACAATACCCCCTTGTTGTTTTTGTTGTGTCTTCATTCAAGACTTGGTTCACGTTGGGCTTGATGGGAAGAGAATGAACACAATGTGCTTTGTGGGAGTTGGATGGGAGCAGTGCTCTAGTGATTTGATTTGAAGTCGTGCAAATGGGATCTATGTGATTTGACACCGTGACGTTTGTTTCAAGCTAAGCAAATGCTCTTCGCTTGAAATGGGCAATATGTTAAATGCTAGAGTTTACAATGTATGCAGTTCCTGACTTTGTTTTTCATACAGGAAATTCAAAATGTACATTTCTTTTTTTAAACACGCACGTTATTTTTTGCCCCTTTATAGATTGTGTTGATTTATTGAGATTTCTTCAAACGTGTGACCATGGCAGAGGAAAATTGAATACCCTTTCTGGCATTTACATTTTTGGTTTTCCTGTGAGTGTGAGATTGTGTATTTTGGATGCATGCTATTAAATTCTTTTTTTATGCCACAATTGTTACCTTTGCGTGCAAGAATCCTGCCGTGCTGTGCTGGTTTTCACACTGGACTTACAATCAAGAGGCCGCCGGTTCGATTCCATCTTCTGGTGTGGCAGAAACAATGGTGCAAGTTTCTTAAATCCCCCTACCTCTATCCACCCAGCAGTATAATTGGTTACACCACATTTAGTCGATTGACATGTCGCGTGGAAGAGTAGGCCAAACCTATCCTCTCTCAAGCTCCTCTCTAGTGGAAGCCCTTCTGCCAACAGTCAGTGTCGCTCTGCTCTAACGAACATTGACATTTGACCCATCTTCACCAGCGGCCCTGAGCCAGTGGCGAACACTCTGCATGATCACAGTGGTACTCGTTTTAGCGACCTCAGAAGGGGTGATAGGCTAGGTCGAACGCTTTTAACTGGGGAAGTGAACTTGCAATCGAGATATCGCGAGTCCTGCTAACGAGTGATGAGCGCCAAATATGGCAGAAGAAAATTGCGCGTGCGGAAGCACGTACACATGTGCTCTCTCTTGGACACTCGAGCACACTCATGCGCATATAAAGACGCACGCACGCACACACAAAGGCAGACGCAACAAGCAACGTCCACTCACGCATGCACACACTTTTAAGGACAAAGTAATGACTGTCAGACGAGCGTAGGCCATTAGACCGAAACGGTGTAGTGAAATGAGCGTATTATGTTCGTGTGTGCGTGTGTTGGATGTTTAACAGGGATGTAATGATTTCGCTCGTAAATTTGTTTCATATTCTAATGATATATGCATCGAATTGCGCACGTAAGAATCAATTATTTATTATTTGCGTGTGTGATCTGGATACCAATGTCCCCATCGTTTTTAATCAATGTGTAATACCGGCTTTGGCGTGGAATAGAACCATGGGTCATTCGTGGGGAAAAATGGGACAAAATATGAGGAGAGCGTGGTTGAATGACTTATTTAAAACTGCGAAGAAAAGCGAGTGGGCTTGGGTAGGACACGTCACCAGTTTGGACGATGGCCGACGGTCAAGAATAACAAGGGTGTCAGCCGAGGGAGCGAAAAACGTCTGAGATGATATCCGCCGACGTGGTGGAGAGACTAAATCAGCTCCTGTGCAGGTGCTCGGTGGATTGTTACATCACAGCAACCTGGGAAATGACGGCAGCGTGAGGAAGCAGTGGATTGAGCATGGCTGATGATGATGATGTTGCTTTAAATGTACAAAACAGAATATTAAAATGACCAGAGTTGTTTGTTCCATAGTGTTTGAAAAGTACATGTTATTTTTGGCAGTGAAACGACAAAGCGCATTGTTAGTAGCACGGATGTGGCGCGTTCTTCATATACGCCTGCGAGCACGCAAATGCAGTTCAGCAACATGATACAGACAGCCTCCAGCTCTTGTGGGTAATCTTCTGCACACAAAATAACATTTTAACACTTGAGGATTTAATCTTGATTTGAAGTATTCGTGACTGCAGGAATCCATACTCTTTGGTTCTTTCGGTCAAGTTACGTAGGTAGAAAAAACAATACATCACAACCTTTCGATCGCCACACAAGCAATCGTCCTCACCTGAGGACGATCACTTGAGGATTTGCCTGTATTTTGGATTTTGGGTTAAAGCCATTCATGCGTTGCCATGCGTTTGCGGTAGTGCAACAGTTAGTGCACTGTGTTAACGTGTCTGCGTTGTATGTGTATATATACGTGTGTGTATGTATGTATTGTCATTGTGGGGAACGGTAGCGTAGCGGTTAAGAGCGCTGCGCTACGAACCTGGCGACCCGAGTTTAATTCCTGTTCACGACCAACACCAGTGACGATTATCTGAATTGGCCGTGGGCCTCCCCTTGGCACTAGTATGTCTGTTGAGCTTTTTTCACACCATATGTAGCCAACCATGTTAATCGGAGGTGACAAAGGCAGCAGTGGGGCATGGTCGTTGGCCACCCACCCCCTTGTGCTATGCCATCCTTCATAGGTGCTTGCGAACAGCACTTGCCACAAAAGTTTGTTAAGGCTATACGGGGGTATTTAACTTTGTCTTGTCATTCAAATATACGCATGTGTTGAACATGACTCTTGGTGTGTGCACAGCTCAAACCCAGGATGTTTACGCCAATGAGCGCCAACTGTTAGCGTTTCCGCGTGAGTGAACTCCGCTCCATGGCTGAACGCCATGCTTCTGGTGCACGGCACACGTTATCTCGCACCAGCTCTGTCGTCACGATCGGCGTGGCCATTTCATGCCGCTATGCCTGCATTATGCCGAGATCCCCAGCTCACGTTTTGTTGTTGTTGTCGAGGTTGCTGAACACAGTCCCAAAGGTGAAAAATGCCGAACGGCCAGTAACAAACCACACGCAACACTGCTGCTGGTGTAATACATGTGTTTGTTGTATTGAGCAAGGTTATAAGAACTGGAGAAAAAAGATGGGATGGATTTTCTTTTTTAAATCACGGTTACTGAGCACAAGCCCAAAATACTGAGTGGCCAGAAACAAAACGGCACTCACTTTAGGCTTGGCTCATAATTCTTGATTCATATCGATTCACAAACATTTTGCAATCCGCTGTTGGATGCAGGCCAGAGGTCGCAACCGGGTACCCGATACCCGTACCCTACCCGATACCCAGCTACCCGGACCCGGCCGGGTACGGGTACCCGTTTGCGACCCTGGTGCGGCCGGGTACGGGTAGGCCGTGAGTCACTGGTGAGTAACCGTTTGTCACTCATTTCCCAACGTCTTGTCTCTTCTCACAATTCAAGTTCCTAGAATCAACCCACCCGCGCCTGCAACATGGCTTCGTCCCAGAGGTCGCAATCAGGTACCCGATACCCGTACCCTACCCGTACCCGGCCGGGTATGGCTAGGGTACGGGTACGGCCAGGTACGGCTACCCGTTTGCGACCCTGGTGCGGCCGGGTACGGGTAAGGGTACGGGTAAGGAATCAAAACCCGTTTGCGACCTCTGATGCAGGCCTACGTATACCATACCATTTATGGGAATTTTTTGACAATACTGCACCACGCGCATCGTCAGTGCTGGTTGGTGAAGCTAATGCCTAGGACCGGTTCAGATATCACTTTCCATTCATGTTAGCCGTTGCCAGGAGTCTCACTCATGTTGCCGGGTCTATAGTACGATGCGCTAATCACCGCGGCGCTAATTTAAATTGATATTAAAGCAATACAATTGCATGATG